TGTTAGGAAATGGCTGTATCTGAGAAGGAAGCTGTTTGGAGGTTTGGGAATAGAAAATTTTGCTTTAAAGATGAGTATGAAAGATGAAGGTGGTGAAAGAAAGAGAAGCCATTTGCCTTCTGGTAACAGTAGTTGCAGTTTTAGATGAGGAAGATTTGAAAAACCTCTGGTAATTTTATTTTTGCTTATCTTTTGAGTTCTGTTTTTCTTTCTTTTTTTTTTTAAATTTTATTTTCCCTCTGTTCTGGAGGACTCATTTAGCACTTGCTGGGGATGCCCCCGGCAGGGCAGAGCTTCCCCGGCGCAGCCGAGTCCCTTCGAGCCAACGTGTCTGTAGCCAGAGCCATATCTACGGCTGCTGCTGGATCAGGAGGCCACCTTGGTTTTAGTTATTTTCCCATTTTTTTTCATAAGGTAGTAGGATGTGAGCATAATCTTTGAAGCATCATCTTACTATGTAACATAATCCTGCTGCAAAGTAATGTACTCTTACCACATAGTAAGGCTTAACAGCATAGCTGTTGGTATAGTTAATGCATCAAGAGGAAGCGTTTATATAAAGAACCAAGGCACTTGTAAGATTGGGTTAGTTTTCTTTTACCATCTATAGAATGACTATATGAAATCATTTTTCTTTACTCTTTATTTCTTCTTAGGAGGAAGGAGAAGATTTCTTGGGTTTGGTTCCAAACCATGGAACAGAGTTTCCCAGGAGCTCTGGGCCCCCCTGCATTTCACCACCTCCTGCTCGTTTGACTTACAACATTAGCGTATAGTTATTAATGGATTTTAAAATAATTCCATGCCCTTATTTCTGAATGGGAAGAGATGAGGGATGAGAAGGAGGACAGGTAATGAACTCTTCATCCTGCTACTGCAGTTCTGGAAGGTGTCCTGACACTGAAGTGATGATGGTGCAAAAGATTATTTGTATATTGGAGATGGCTTTCAAGTAAACAATATAAAGAGAAACTTGTTTTTCTTATGAATTTGTGAAAATGCCCCTTTTTGAAATACCCACTCATTTTCTTTTATTTCTGGAGTAGTTGACTAAATTAGACCTGATTGCAAATAGCAACTGTTCGATGTTGACGCTTCATATTCTTAGTTCAGTCTTGTCTTGAAGTTTATTCTTATTATCATTAATTTGTAGTTAGGAGTCTGGAGCGGAAAAGGAGGGGGAAGTCGTGCCACCAGTTTCCTATAATGAAGCAGGCGATTAACATTCTCCTCAAATTATCATTAATTAAGCAGAAAGTTAGTCTAGCGCTAGGAGCTGGGATATTTCTGTACCACTAAAAGGCCCCGAGTGGGGGATACGAGTCTGGTTCTGTTTTCCCAAGCCTGTTCCGTGTGGCTCCGCATCCATTCTAAAGGGAAGGAGCGAGGGAGCCACGGGTTTGGCGCTTGGATTAATAGTTGAAGTTCACCCGGCTGGAAATAGAGCAGATTTTCCTATGCCTGGAATGTGCTATTAAAAAGCCATTATCAGAGTGGACCGGCGTGATTCCTCCTCTGTCCTTGCTAACGACAAAACGATCTGTTCTTAAAAATAAGAGAAAAACCCGACAAGCCTGTGTTTTCTTTCAGAAAGTGATGCAGGAACCTTAACAACCTAGGACCTGGGTGAAGAGAGGCAGTTGTAAGATTTATTGATCAATAAAACAGACAATTACAGCTTGTTTATAAAAGGAGAGAGAAAAAAAAAAAAGAGCCCCAAATCTCGGGTCTGCAGGCAACACTGAACCTCTAATAATGGTGACTCTGGAACCCTGCTTGAAACTATAAAAGTCAATAGGAAGATATAGGATTTCAATAAAATTATGACACTAGATAAACTTTACCACAGGAACAAATTTTCCCTGTGTGTGTGACTGACTTCAGTTAGATTTGTAACTTTAATTTCTTTTGTATTGATTTTTTTTCTTTCTTTTCGTTCCTTCAGCTAATTAGAAAGTCGGCAGTGAATTCAGTGTGGGTATGTGTTTGAGGAGGGGCTAATGAGCATCAGTGGGAATAGAAGCTGAGTGTAAAATGCCATTTGACCTTCTCTTGGTTAATTCTTTTGCTGTGTTTTGCCCTCTCTCCAGCTGCTTCCAATGTACGGGCTGGACGCCAAGACAGACAGAGGCCACTGAGTGTTGGTCATGGGGAAGGCGCTACCTGGGGAACCATCAGGTTAACAATTCCCAGGTCTTTTCCCCCAAAATAACCGAGTTCTTGTAGCTCTCTAGTGCACCAACACTAGTGAAAGCAGCAGCTCTTTATCTTGAAGCTCTTTAGCAAAGAAGCCCACGTTTGGCTTTGTGCAAGAAGGACTAGAGAAGGGTGATGCTTGCGATGGAGCTTGGGTACCTATCCTGTGGTGTGGGATGTAGAGACTCTGTGGCAGCTGCATAATTCAGTTTACATTTTGGAGAATCTTTACTTGGAAGGCTTCTCAACAAGAGTTTCTGTTTCCTGCCAGACTAACAAAGATTTAGGAGGGTTGGAAAAGCTTTGGGTAAGTACACCTGATAAGGAAGAATTTGAAGATGGAGCTAGGGACCACTTGCTAGAAGCTGAGAACCGATTTCATTACAGTACTAATATTTAGAAATAATTACAGATGAGAAACTAAACACCAGGATCAGGTGTTTAATATGTACTTGCCCTTTCAGCTGTTCAGCAGCCTCTTTCACTACAGCTTGTGCTCTGGTTGCTGTGCTTATTTTTTCTTGTCAAGTTTGCTCTCCTCGGAGGAAGGCTTTGAAACTTAAGGTCTGTAACTGGTTTTAAGGAAAAGACACCCCATAGGGATGTCCTGTTTCCATACAGATTTCCCCATCCTAGCATGAAAGCAGAAGTTAGTCCTTCTTGCAGCTGAACAGCTTGAGGAACTGCTAGGATCTTGCTTGGGGGGTGACTTGAATACCTAATATCCAGGAGTTAATTGGAAGCCTTGTGAGGTGGGAATTGCCAGGGGTCCTGTTTGCTTTTGAAAAAATGGTAGAGATTTCAGGCCTGCCTTGCTGTAAAGGAGAGAACGTTTCTGTGTTAAACTATCACGTTGATGAAAGACGCTTGGCAGAGAATTGGAAGAGCGGAGCAGATTGTAGTGCAGAGAGGGAGAGAAAGGATGTTGTAATTGCAGCTCTAATTGCAACGATATGCAAGGATCAAACCCATAAATACAGTAAACGCAGTCATTACATCCTTGTCTGTGTTCTAGACAATAATCCTGCAATAAATGGGGAACAAAAGTTGTCTGCTCAGCCAAGGCCGTTGGTCTAAATGGAGAGGGAAGTTTCCGGAGTGAGTGTTGATATGGGGAAAATTGATGGAATGATCCTGGACTGCTGCTTTTTTACCAAGCTGGTTCCTTATGGAGAGTTGTGGCTGGATTTCTCTGCTTGCAGTAGCATGGAAGTAGCTCCTTTTGTGTGTCTGTCAGGTCAATAATTCTTGCAGAAGCTCATGGCAAAACTGTTCCTTTCTTGGCATAGGACCTCTCTTCCACCAGGCTTGAGCAAGAAGCTAATAATAATCAGTTCTGTGTTAAAATCTATTTTTATTTCTTTATTAACTCAGTTCCTTCAGCCTCAGGCTGTTCTTTGGTCTTGAAGGCCCTTTACCTGCTGACCAGTCCAAACATCTTGGTTGACCTTTCAATACGTGGCATGCCTTGAACGCACGCTGCACCTCTGGCAGTTCCCTTCTTGTTTTTACACCTTGATTTTTGAATGTTCCTTCTCTTTTCTGTGCGTATGTTCAGCGTTTGACCTTTAAATTTTGAAGGGGGAAAACAATCTTCATGTTTAGGTGTGTTCAGCTGAGTAGTTAGCATCAACTTCACTGTCTGAAATGCAACTTTTTATTTCTCATTTGAGGGTGAGGGGAAGGGAGCTGGTTTTCTACGCTGGTAATTCCTGATTTTCCCTAGAGAGCTGTATCCCAGCAAAGCACTGCAGCATGACTAAGTTTGGTTTATGATGTACTTGAGGCTCAAAATAGTGGTAGTGACCTGCTCTGATTGTGGACTGAACAGCTATAAAGCTGAGTGATCTTTTAATAATATTTTGGACTTTTGTGATGGCAAAATTGACACTGCAGAACTGATTTGTCTGGAGCACTTGTGTATTCTTCTAGTAGGGCGAGAGAGCAAACTTCAGCATTGAATAGGAGGCAGCACTACAGGGTTTCCTAGGTGGTTTTGCTCCTCTCAGTTATGCCCAGGCACTGCTCTACTTGGTTTTGTAGTCTCATGGACATCAACATTCTTTGATATGATCTAGAGACAAAACCAAATTACAGCTTCGCTTGCAACTCGAGTTTTATACCCGAGGATATGAACACGCTCAGAGGGAGGAGAAGAAAAACAGTCCTTTTTTCTCTAAAAATGCTTGATTAGCATTGCCAGAAAGCAGCAATGGGAGTCAAACATACTATTTACAAAACATTAACCGGTAAAAAGATACTTGTCATAAACAGTGACTGTGACAGCGTTCAACAAGTGATCGGCCACATGCCTTTTAGAGGATATTTGCTCTCAGCCACTTTGCTGTCCGTCAAATCTGTTTCATTTCTGTTGTCACGATTTTGTTCGGTCGCTGCTGGAACTGTTTGGCAGGAGAAATATAAGGCACTGCGCTGCACGTTTTGCTGAGGGAACCATCCAGCCATGATGAGTTAGAATGGCATATCGAGGAAAACAAAGGCTGTTTTCAGCTGCTACGTCGTTGATGGAGTGCATGCATATTGCTTTCAAGCAAGACATAATGCTTTTATATGCACAAAATAGTCAAAATGTTCAGTTCTGAGATCAACAACATTTCATTAGCACTCTGGGTGTCCGTATTTGTGTGATGATGCCCATATGAACGTGATGCGTATATATCTTTTAGGGGTTCTTTGTCAACTGAAAGAAGAATAATGAAAAATGTAACTTTTGTCCCAGCATCCATCTTCTCCAAGGAGGTCAGGGCTTTGTCCCTAATGGTGATTTTTGTTCTTCCCGGCAGGAGCGGGATGGGATGCGGGCGATCCTGGAGTCGTACGACAGCGAGCTGACGCCTGCGGAGCACTCGCCCCAGCTCAACCGGCGCATGCGGGAGGCAGAAGAAATGGTGCAGAAGCTGCATGCTCACAACACTGAGCTGGAGGTAACAAAGAGGCATCACTCGCTAACCCCATCGGTGGAGGAGTTGAGACCTTTAAGATGTAATTAGCTAGTGATAGGATGTGTTCTCTCAGAAGATAGATTTGCAAGAACCCAGACTTCAAACATCCAGGGCCAGTAATATCCCCAGTTTTTTATTCTGCACCTGAAGCTGTCAGAAGCCAAAAGTTACTGTCTTTGGGTGTGATGTTTTGGGCTTAGCTGTACTGAATGGCCAGAGTGCAAACTGGTGCCTAGAGGTTAAAGGGGTAGCGAAATGGAGCAGATATGGTGCCCTCTCTAGGGAGCAGTCCGAGGGATTCATTTCTCCACATGTCTGATGTGGAAGCTGGTCTCTTCTCTGTATGGTATATGTGCTTATATACTCATAAGAGCTTTGATTTTATGGGCTGAAGAGGACAATTTTGTCTGCTGTTAATTTTTCATTTCTTGGCATTGGGTTGAAAACCCCAGAACACCAGTAACTCTAATAATGTTTTTTATACTCAGGTTTTCTCCAAGGACAACATTTTTTTTTTTTTTTTTCAGAGAAAGTAGTATTTCTTACAGGAATTACATTCTTATTGTTACCTCTCTTTATGTAGTTTTGTGTTGTGAAACACAACTGCCATAAGGTCAGTGATGTCATGCAGCGGCCAAATAGTTTTTCTTTCTTCTGCTGTATTTTTGTCATAGTCTAATGGGGTTTATGATCCCAAATTGCAATACTTGGAATATGTCTGTGATCTTAAAGCCTTGGAGTTTTATTACGTGGGTTGTGCAATAGCCATAAGTATATGAGTTTTCTTTTCTTCGTGTCTAGTTCTACCATCATATAGATTTATAGATGCCATAATCCAAGTGGAGCAAAGCTTTGAGAAATTGATGCTGCTTGGATTCCAGTTGAAGCTGTAGAGTGGATTGCCCCAGTGTGCACAAACCCCCTTAGTTGATTCTATCGCTCTTAAAAATGCTCTGTTCTGTTGATGGGGGGGCTTAAGCAAGGAATTATCGACTCCAGTGACCGTGGGCCAGGGTCAGAGCTCTGTCTCCAGAGTTGTGTGAGCAGAGCACTGTAATATGAACTCAATATTGGAGGTGATTGGAGATGTCTAAAGCATTTTCAGCCCTCTTTCTCGGAAAAGGAATCATGTTAAGTTTTAGTCAAGTCTATAGAGAAGTTAGTGGCATCAGATGAAATGGGAACTTGCCTGAATTGATGTCTCAAAGTTTTTTCCTGTTGACTTTTGAGCGCTACGTTGCTTAATGCTGGACAGAGCAGGTTTAAATGACAGTGACGGGAGGTGATAGTTGGCTGTTTATCCTGTTTTCTTAGTTTTTCTAACAGCAGCTCTGGATGCGAGGGCGATTCCTCTAAATCATTTGCTGAGTAGAAGGTCAAATGTACACGGTATCTGGGCAATAGCAAAATTCCTACACTCCTTTTATTATTTCTTAGCAGTTACCTTCATGGTGTGGATTAAGGGGTACATGGAAAATTTCAGAAAGGAGCTCTGTTCTTGGGAAGTTTGTGTTTTTTTTGAGATGTCAGCCTTTAAGCCCTTTAAAGCCTTAGCTAGAAGCAGCATTCAAAGACCTGATATTCCCCTTGCAAAGTAAAATTTTATGCTTCACTTGTCGATGTTTGCCTTTTGACTATAACAGTGACTGCTGAATCCACTCTATTCTGAAATTTGAGGGGATATTTCTGTTCCAGTGCCTATGGTAAAAATCTGAAAACTGACACGGGAGATTGGGGTATGGGCAGGACTCCTGGTGTCTCATCACCTGGAGCAGCAACTTTAATCCGTCAGCTCTAGATGAAAGAACTGGTCAATAGCTGCTATTAATAACAGCTAACGTAATGCTCTGCATCCTCCCCGCTCTGCTGCACCTCCATACAGACTTCAGAAATGTTGACACCTGCGTGACTCATCTCGCAAGCAAGGAGAGGGAACGGCAAGGATGAGGCGTCTCGAGGCCTCTCATGTTCTGGAGATGTGGGATAAACAGTGTCTGGCAAGGAGAGAGGCAGGGAGGGAAGGCAGGAACGTATCTGTGCTTAAGTTGGAGTGTGATAAGGATCAGGGCTGGGAGGGTGGCCTGCAGAGAGCCAGCAAAGCAGGACGAGGGGCACAAAGTGTCCTGGAGCGAGCAGCAGCGTGTGCTGCTTTGCTGGCATCCCATGAAGTCCAGGCAGCGCCCAGATGGGATCTGAGCTGAAAAGGCCACGCTGATGCTCTTGCAAGTCTCAACAGGGCAGCGTGTGGAAAAGAAGTAGGATTGTGGATGAGCGGAGGTCCCGCAGCAGGGGAAGGCAGGGATGCTGATGGAGCAGCGCTTGGCACGGCCGGTTGGAGTCATTCCCTGTCACAGGAGGGGTCCCAGCGCCCCGGGGCAGGGCAGGTATCGCTGCAGTCCCCAGCACCTCACCTTTGGGTAGCCCTTTTGAGCCACAGAGGCAAATGCTGCTCCATGCAGGATGTTTTGTAGCTTCTGCCTTCCAGCTAAAGCAATGCTTTTCATACACCTGAAATTTCACACCATTTCTCTCCTTCATGTGTTTTATCACAGTTTTTTTTTCTTGCAACTGAGAGCTTCGTTTACTGCAATCTCATTCTGTGTTCCCCAGCAGAGTCCTTTGATAGTCGTAAAGCTCCGTAACTAACACTTTTTTTTTTCCTTCTGTTTTTTCTGGCTGCTCAAATTTCTTGTCAGCAGCCCCACCCCTGAAGAAGTTATACCAGCAAAAAGCAGTCCTCTGAACAGGTAAATTTCTTTACTCAAAAGATTGTGATTTTCCCCTCTGTATAATGGAGCTAGGGAGCCTTTTAAACGCAGGGAACGAGAGGTGCCAATTTGGAGCCCAAAGTCCCTCCTTCCCTCTAAATACAGCCGCCTCGGCCATGCTGGACACTGAGTTTGGATCACTGACATCATCTGGCCTAAAAGCACCTTCCCAGGAAATGGGGCAGGATGTTTTCATCCCAGATCACTTTAAATCTATGATGTTGCTCCATAAGAAACAGCCCTAGCAAAAAGTTTGCTAGAGGACACAGAAGGGCTGGTGGGGACCTTGTTAAATCCCCTTCACTGCTGAGAAAAGCTAGGTCCCTTATGCATGAACGTGCAAACACGTAGCCCGCTCTGGGACTGGAAATCATTGCTTTATCCTGCCCAGCGCTGCCTTCCCGGTGCCATCGTGTCCATCCATCTCGGGAGGTTCAATAAAGCGCCTTGCCGGGCGTTGAATGCAAAGCAGGGGGCAGATGCAAGAAAAATGTCATGTGAAATGGCGGCTCTGGAAGCAAGCGGGCTGTGTCAGCCTATTTCAAGTGGTTAATGGAGTGTCACTCACCATCTTTTTAAAAGGGTGTTTGGGAAGTGAGGAGGGAATGAGTTTGTCTGTGGCCAGTGTGCTTAAAATAAACAGAACCCTCGCTGCATTTGTATTGTGGCATTGGGTCTTCATTTTGACGCTGGCAGCATTAATGGTTTTCGTGCTAGTCTCTGTCTTGGTGAAATTTTTGCTACCTTAGCACCCATTAACTCTGGTTTCAAGGGAATTAGGATAAGGCAAGAAACCCTGTATCTAGAGCAGCTGTGGCGAGAGCTCTGTTGTGGAGGTTAGGGTTTGAAAAGTTAAATCCAGCTGCAGGAAAGAGAAATCATCATAAATATAACTCCATTAATAGCCATTCTATTACAACCCACTTGGCTCCATATGAAACTTTAATGAAGAGAGATCTGCAAGGAAGACTCATGCTGACACCTTCAATGGTCTCCAGCATTTTTTACATGGAGAGATTTATGCTGTCTGTGCACACCATATGTACTCCAATCAGTTAATAATTGAGCCTGGCAGTTTCAGCACATGAACTGCCATATGTTCTGGTTTTGTTCACCATAGGGTCCACTGGTGACCTCAAAACTCATTGACCAAATATTGTCACCTTACTTGCACCTGATAACTGCAGCGCATCTGCTGGGTGGGGCAATTGGGCACTGCTGATTCTCGAGCACAGATCTGCTCCTCGCAAAGTGAGAGTTACTCAGCAGCCACCCCAGTGTTGAGCGTGCTTAAAATTTGTGTGCGTGCAATAAAATGTTTATTTGAGCAGTTAACAGTTCTTTGCTGCCTCTCATCCAGCTGCCCTCTCAGTGCTGCTCCACTTTCTTTTCCCTTCTTTCTTTTCCCCCTTTGATCCGCACTGTGGAGCTTGCTTTACCCCTCCTCTGCCGAGCTTCCTCTCCCCCTCAAAGCTCAACTGCCTCTTTACACAGAACTGAGGGTTTCTGTGATGCGGGGAACTTTACAGAAGAATTTCCTTCCATCTGTGCAAAGCACAGAGGAGTTTGTTTTTAATTTTCAGCTTTCTTCTGCCTGCTCTGTCTGCCTCTTGCCATCCTGCTCTTCTCTCACTGTTTTTCTCAGTGACAACTGCAAGCAGCAGGGAGAAGATTGCCGTGCTCTCGTTGTCCGTAAGGAGCAGATCCCAGTGGCTGGGGCCATCGGGGACAGCATCGTCTTTGCGTGGCCAGACCTCTGCAGTCCCTGCAGCGGGAGGCGAGCGGCTCTCCCTGCGGACGCTGCTGACGCTCTCCCTGCCGGAGCTGCCGCTGGTGGACGGAGCCGATGGAGCTGGGCACCATCACCTGACAAAGCAGCCGCCTCCTCCAAATCCCAGCCCTCAACGTCATCTCTTGGGCATCTCGTGGTCGGCTTGAGCCTTGCCAGGAGCCCTTGGCATATGTCTCCTCTTGGGCAGGAGAGCCAGCCGATCCCTGGTGGTGCTGCATGACAGGGCCCCTTGGGTTCTCTTCTCCTTCAGGTCTAATTTTCTTTCAGACCATAGTGATTTGGTCAAGCTGGGGAGCTGCTAGTCTCCTCTCCTCCCTTTTACCCTGCCAGGGCTGTACTTGGAGCCAGTACCTTACAAGCACACTCCATACAAAGGAGATGATCAGGCCATGAAGGGACTTCATGATTTACTGAAGGTGGTG